ATGTTATGCACATGTGCATAATATATAAAAACATGAGTCTCTCACATAATCAATGGGGGTCTTCCTTAGGCCACAAGAAGTTGTTATGTAAAATTTCATTGCAAAAGCTCAACAGTTTCTCGAGGTATCGTGTGGAAACGAAAGCGTTACAGACAGACAGAAAGACGGACGGACGGACGGATGGACAGACGGACGAACGGACAAACCCAAATTAATATCCCTCACTTTTCAAGCGGGGGACAAAAAATGTACTGCTACAAAGATCGTAAAAGTTCAATGATATACGGATAATTGTTCACTTTTACGAAATCAATTGTGTTACTGTATACAGGGTTATTTTCGCCCCGTGTTATTTTCGCCCTTTTGTACTTGCAAACAATTTCGCCCCGTTTTAAATTCGCCCAGTCATAGTTCTGTTTAAGAAATGATACTGTGTGATTTGAATTTGCGCTGTTTTAAATTCGCCCAATCAACAAAAGGGTGAAAGGGGCGAAAATAAAACGGGGGCGAAAATTTCCCTACACATAGTATTCATGTTATTTAAGATTATTTAAGACTAATTCATTAACCCGATAAGGAGCAACTTCCCCATGCCCGGGAATTTTATAAAATTTAACTGTCTTTTGAGAAACTTCGTACATTTACATAATACGTATTGAAATTATCTAAAATTACGGAAAAAAGCAACGGCGCACAGTTTGCTACCAGCACTTTTCAAAATCGACAATAGCTATATGTGTACGTCTTGAAAATCATAATTTCAATTTAAGCGGATATCGTTGAACTTTTGAGATTTTCGATTGGGATTGAAGTAAGTTTAAGTATGTACTTTACTTCAGTTTTACATCCTAGATATCACTATTTTGGTCCAACTTTGGTTTTTGGTTGGATAGTTGGTAGAGTGTTGGCGTTGTAGAACAATTGTAGGCCCAACGTTGGTCCAACGTTAATCTACCTTGGCATGAAAGGTACATGTAATCCAACGGTGTTGGTTATGCGATGTTGGCCCATAATTGGCCAATTGTAGTAACGTTTTGACAAGGAAAATGGCGACTATGTGTTGGACATTAAAATGTTGGCCGAACATAATTATTCGTATGAGAGTTAGGGAACCGTATTTTGTTTAATTGACAAATTCTATTGCAGCTTTACTAATGATAAATGTTCACGTCTGTTCTGTTTTGTTCTCTACTATCCATGGACGTCATTTTTTCTTCGCGGGCAAGCTGCACGAACTATCATACTTATAGTAAATAAGAAGCTGACTACGCTTAAATTTATTTACATCTCTAGTGAAGCTACAAAGCAGGCTGCACATGCGTTCCTTGGAACACTCTAGTTTGTTATTGTTGTCACTTGGCACTATTTGTTTTTGCTCAAGAATATTTATTACCTAGTCAATAAGATATATTACTAGCTCTAAAACAAATGATAGTGCATTATTCTCCAGTACAGTGTGTTAGATTCTTGATTTAGTAAGTAAGTAATACATTAATCTTACAAAATTACTTAATTAATCTTACTAAAATTCGTAAATAAATACAGTAGTTATTAGGAATAAGAAATTGTTTAAATAATAATAATTTATGGCATGCCATGAATTGTCTGGAAAAGGCAACATTTTTGTTAGTTTCAAGCTGCTAAATCTAAGTACATGAGAGAGAGAGAGAGAGAGAGAGAGAGAGAGAGAGAGAGAGAGAGAGAGAGAGAGAGAGAGAGAGAGAGAGAGAGAGAGAGAGATCTGCATAATTCATTTTAGCGCACAACTTTAACAAAGAATAGCAAGGGTATAAATGTTCAATCTCCTGATAATACATATTCATGTACATTTTTCACAATTTGATTAATATTCAAAATTTACATATTTATGTTTTGTTCCGTCGGTTTTTCAGTTAAAAGGTACGCTACAACAGGACACTTATTAAGATTTTAGATCACTTGTGTTCAAATTTCCTGCTACATTTGTACAATCTAGATTTTACAAGGAAGTGAATATGTTTAGAAGAGATCAACTGAAATTTCGTTTTTTTTAATTGCTGTGACTGATTACAACATTGTTGGCAAGTATTTTTTTTTCAAAATTTTATTCATGATCGATTCAAGATTTTTTTTTACTGATAATAACGTATATTTGAGCGTTGAAAAGTGGTACTTTGGCATATAAAACGATGTTACAAACTGAACATTTTTCAATTAGTCCCCTACCGGTGAAATCCGTTCGGACTATAAGTTTGATTTTTATATATCAAGTATATCACAGGTATATAGATGCAGAATCCTGCTGATCGATACGTATCGATATCTCTAAGATCTTTTCTGATCTTTTACTTTAAAGCATTACCAAAGTTTTTGCTCTGTCAACACACACTACAATAGTTAAATCGGGGCACTTCTCAATATTTATTTTAACATTAAAATTACCTGCTGCAAAATCTTAACAAACTTTTTAGAATAAGGAAATAAGCATACCTAGCAGAAAAAATTGTAATTACAGAATTAAGGTAACTGATAGCCACATTACAAATTTATTGTTGAGTATTCCTATTCCCCAATTCTATTCACATAATATTGATATACTAATATTTAGGTATTTTTGTAGGATTACGTCCATATCAAATCAGTATTTCTCTGTTAACCCTCTATACTATTGATATGTATTGATAAATAATTCATTTCACGCCAAAATTAAACTTGACATCATAAATCATGAGATCAAGGAATATATATGCCTAGAAAAAAAGATGTCCCTATACTTCCATTGTCAAATCCTACTTATTATGTTTGTACAACACGCAAATGAAAAACAATTACATGTATTCATTATTTGATATTCAACTCATTTGCTGTTGTTGGAAATTTGCTGTCATATGCTTGGTATATCTTTGAATCTTGTTTAATCAAGCAATGTGACAATGAAAAAATATTGTAAAACCTTATGATGACTCTTAACATGATCAAATACAGGTAAAATAATATCTTTCAATTATATTACTTAATGTCAATTATTATTTTTTTGTGTGTACTACAAAAAGAACCTGCATAAGTTTAGTTTTTTAACAATTGTTTTTAACAATTTATGAGAAGGACTAAACGAACAAATGTACAAAATTATTTCTTAAATTCATAAAAGACTGTGGTTTTGTATAATAAAATTTATTTTCCTGGTCTTTATCTCTCATAAAATAGTTGTTAATACTCAATTTTTGAGTTGACCAATATGTTTCCGTGATTGACAATAGTAAAGAAATTAATAATACAATATACAGCATGCAATGTTTGAAAACATAACATCAGGCTTACTTGCGTACGGAAATCAGAGGCATTTTAAAGGTCTCGAATGTGACGTCACATGACCTCGTTCAAGTATATTAGTTACACTGCTACAACAGAGTCTCTCTTTTTGTATACAAACAGGGTGTTTCAACAAACAACAAACATGTCCGGACTATTAATGTCTATAAATTTGTACAGTAATAAAATGTTTTAAAATTATAATTATATCTGTACTTTAAAACCCATCTTCCTGCAATTCTACTGTGATTTTAACAATATAAGATAAAGTGATTTAATTTTTCTCATTGAAGTTTTGATAACATTTTCAAAAATTAATTTATGAGGGTTTTTCTTTATAAATGGATATATGGATGTCTAAAAATTTAACATTGCAAACAGAAATGCCGGTCTTAAAAAATAATTGATTTAAAATGTCTTCAACTTTCATATTGATAAAATTATTTGGTGATGTAGTTTTCATTTTTGCAAAAAATTCTTTCGTTAATACTGTTTAACTCTCTATTGAAACCACAAAATCGGGACATGTTTGCTGAGACACCCAGTCCATATTAGTGTGTGTGTCTATCCAGGTCCAAATTTACAGTCATCTATAAATTCTCAAGTTAGCATTTTTCTTCGTAGATCAATGTTATATTTTCAGGTCAATATATAAGCATTTTATCTTAATTAGAACGCATCTTTTTATAATAGCACCGATAGAAATCTAAGACAAAGATAACAATAAAAAAAGATACAGATCACAAAGCAAACTTTCTTTGACAATCCTAATTACTCTAAAAATTAAAGAGGGAGTTTTTCCAAAGTGTACCAAAATAATTTATTTGTATTTTCTAGCTTTAATAATACTTCAATAAGGATAAACAGTCCAGTCCAATACGAAAATTCGTAATATTACAAGTTATCGTAATATAAAACTTATATTACAATTTTTCGTAATGTAGTTAAATTACGAATACGCGTAATATTTATAGCAGTTTGTAAGAGACTATATTACGAGTTTTCGTAATCCAATACAATCCAAGCATTGCAAGAAATTGAGTGGAGGGTAGCAAAGTATGACGTCAGTAATATATCAGATTCCACGGCTACTGATAGCACGGGGTCAGTTTATTCAGTTACGCCTATCAGAAAGCATGGAAATTCAAGAAGAAAGTACCGCTAGCGATGGGTGCGTGAACAATTTCTTTCATTATTCTTTTATAGGAATTTTCCCAAGGATAAGACCAATTTTCCAGTAAATTTCAATATTCGCTTAAGCATGTCGCATTGGTCTATATCACCCGAACTCCCTACTTTTCTTCCGAAGTCTACCCTAAAAATCACACCCTCGTTTCATAATTCAACTGTTCGTGCAATTCTTATTTGAAATACACAGAATTCAAATCTCAGTAAGAGTCGTACAAGCTATCGCCCGTGACATCTCATATTAAACGTCATACTTTGCTACCCACCACTCAATTTCTTGCAATGCTTGAATTTGTCTTGGATAATACGAAAACTCGTAATATAGACTCTTACATCTGCTATTTTACGAGTATTCGTAATTAAACTACATTACGAAAAATTGTAATATAAGTTTTATATTACGATAACTTGTAATATTACGCTTTCTCGTAATCTTACGTTTTTTAGTAATATTACGAATTTTCGTATTGGACTGGACTGATAAAAGAAAAGAAAAACCTAACAAACCTCCTCTTATTTCAGGATGTTGCTCAATGACCATTTTTACACGGACAGAGCTACATTGGTAATTTTTAAAATGCGCAGGACTTCTGGTGGGTTTTAATTGACATCTGTAAAATCTAAGACAGTATTTACTCCATCATTGGCTTATTATACTTACGAATATGTAAATAAAAGTTATATATTTATCTTCTCTATATGAATCCTTTAACAGTATTGATACAAAAGTATAATGCTATCTTAATTTCACATGTTACATGACAGAATTTAACACTTTTATTAGCGTCTATAGATAAGCAATATTGTATAAAATTCAGATCATATTTGCTTAAAGATCACGTACTTAGATTCATACGTGTGCCTTTATCTTCAATGATGCCGAACCTACTATAAATATATCTTTTATTCAATCGTGAATCAACAAAACACTGTTGTGATTTTAAATTATTAGTTTTTGGAATGATTCTATAAGAGATGTAAGATATAATATATTATAGATTTATTCAAACCTATCTACTTTTTAAAACTATAAAGTTAATGTTTGAAAAAATGCTAGAAATAATATAAAAGGAAATATTTTCTTCCGCATATCACGGAAGTGGCTGAAAAGATACGTGGCTTCAGATTCATAGGCTTGTCTAAGGATATAATCTTGATTAAAATTGATCAAGAAGAATTGATATGAAATATTTTGGGGAGAAATCATTGAGGAAGGATCTACATATGATTTTGTTAAAACATTCTTATTCAAGTAAAAGTACTTCGAAGTTGATCTCAAAAGAATGTTTCTCATCTATGTAATCTTTGAAGATCTTCTGATAATCTGTTGGAATTCGCATTCGTTGATACAATTTGTGCATCATTATCATGATACATGTTTTTAAATTTTTACAAAGCAGATATTATTCAAATACGTCCTCATATCAAAAGAAATATTATGCTTTAGATATATGGAAGATGTTTGACCAGTTAACAATATTCATTTCCAGGCATACGTTGATTTAATATATCCTACTTTACTTAAAATTAAAGACGCTATAGAGTATGAACACCTTTTCCCTATTTGGTTATTTTCTGGAATAAACATTAATGACAAACTGACACCTTAACTTTGATTTCAACTTTCTATCGTCAAATTCCCTTATTTCTATAGCAATAAATGTTGGGTTTTATCTCACCCAAACGATTCGATCTGCATGAGGATGTTCTAAGTTTGATCAATTTCATAAACGAGGTATCATACTGTAACAAAAATATATCGTAAAGTCGAATGTTGACAAACGTCTTTCATGCAAATGGTAAGATGTGACAATCGACAGTGGATGTTCATTCTTCCATAGCACCTGAACCCTCCTCTGTTCTCAGAGATCAGTAATTGGTCTGCTCATAAAATATATCGATTAATTGGTCTTTGAGCATGTTTACTATTATTTCTCTTCATATTTCATATAATATTTAGAGAACAACCTTGTCATACATTTTCTTTTCAAGAATAGCAATACACGTCGACAGTAAATCACCTATAATTTAAGCAAACGTGTGTTAAAGCTAATCAAAACCGTGAAAACGGATATACATATATGTAATTTTTTGCAAGAAAAAAAAATAATAACTTGAAAGTATATTTAGTACCTTAGTTAATTGATCCTGTTTATGCTGTAGAATAAAACGGACATTACTTTGCAATATACCCATGGTCCCCTGTAAAATATTATGTATTTAATTGTCTCATGAAATACTTTTAATACTCACCTTCAATAGAAAGGCAACACCTTTAATTTAGGGTGAAAATTATGTACAGGATATAACTATGTACCAAAAAAGTTAAGACATCTTTAACTTTGCCTAATCAGTTTTTTGACAGGTGAATGATTATCATTCCATTACCCGAAGTTGATTTTTAGCCTTCTTAACAGAAATCAAACATTAGCAATTTTGATAAAATATTTGACAATATTTTGGTTTTTAAAGTTTGTACCTTTTTATCATAAGTATTGTACTAAAATGCCGGAAAAAATATTTCTTTCTTTTCCGGATGTGATTTCCTGTATTACCTCAAAATTACCGAAAGCACGGATTTCATTGCTAATGCTTGAAATTCTCAAAATAAAGAAAACGTAGAGCTACAGATACAAATATACGCTACATAACGTCTGTTTCAAAAGCATGAATGACAGTTCATTGACCGGAAGTCTAAGGGTTACTACACTGCGCCTAGTTAGAGAAAATTCGACTTCAGTTTCTGAACAACAGGCAATTCAAAATGTGCAAGAATATTTATTTTGCTCAGATAAAGACATTGATAAACCTAATGCAAGGTAAAAATAGGCATGCCTACACTGTATGTTGTACATGGCGGACCAGCATATTTTGATTAAATGGTCGGAAGGGGTTGTTTTTTTTTATATGTTATCTGTTAAGAGAGCTACAAAATCAACTTTTGGTAATGGAATGAAAACCATTCAACCATTAAATAACTGATTTGGCAAAGTAAAAGATGTCATAACTTGTTTGGTACATAGTTATATCCCGTATATACTTTTTTACCTTAAAATTAGAATGTTGCGTTTTCATTGACGGGGAGTATATATTCATTATTTTTACATTGATCATTGTTATCTTCTAGATGTATAAAGTTCATGTGACATTCAAAGGGTTGAACCATGGCATCTGCAAACAGTCCCTACAGTTCTGAAGGCACAACAAATGTTAACAGGGTTTGTCGTCTTCTTCTTGGACCCTGCACCGATCAATTGCGAGATGTTCTTCGCAATCAGGTTCCGCCACCAACATTTGCTACTGTAGCTATGAAACAGAGGCAAAATCTTACAAGATTAACTCCCCAACAAAGGGATCTTATTTTGCCTCACAATGCGTACTACACTGGAAATTATGACGACTTCGACATTTCCTTGTTGTATTCTCTTTTAAGGAACATATGTAATATTACACCGCACAAAAATGGTTGGGGTAATGACCCGGATTTATTTGATCGAAGTCTTTCTGCAAATATTGAAAGAATACGAATAGCCCGAAACTCGACTGCTCACTCTGCAAGATTATCTCTTACAAACCTTGAATTTATGGATATTTGGAATTCTGTTCGAGGTGCAGTAGTGGAAATGGATGCAATCCTTTCGAATGGAAATCATTTTCAGAAGGAAGTTGATGTTTTGAGATATATAACAATGGATCCTGTCCAAGACAAGTATTACAGACAACAACTAGCCAAACAATATGCCGAGGATCAAGATACCAAAAACTTCATTCGGATACTTGAGAGTATATTTCTTTACGTACATTACATTACATAATGTGTTTTATTAATTCATCAAGATAAAAGTGCAATATATTTTACAAAAAACCTTAGCAGGTATACATAAATTATATGTTTGGGAATCATGAACATAAAAAAAGATATCTGAAATCAAATTTTATACGTATATGTCCCATCTTTAATGTATTATGAGCCTCAAAGAATGTATCAAAAATTCCAAATTACGTATTTTGATTCGCTGTAATGATTCAATAAACAAAAAAATGAGGCAATTTCCCTTTGGGAGGTTATTATGTTCTTAGATTTTCATTTTTTTTTATTTATTTTCAAAAATAAGCTTTGCAACAAAAAGTTTTTTTTTTTATTTAGAAAACATGGAATGTAATCAAAGAGAGACAGCCAGCAAGATAAATCATCTCTCAGGTTAGTTTGTCTTTATAGAGCCATTCTCTGTAATGTCTTGGCATTTAATATAGGACCTGTAGAATGTATCGTCTCAGAAATTCTCCGAACTCTCTATGATGAAAGTTTTTATACCATAAAGTCAAATCAGGCACAAAATGTATTGCTATGTTTCGTGGTCTCCATGGCGATATGCCCTAAAGTTTGAAATAAATGACATTTTTAATATGTTCTTAGCTAACACTTTCAGCAAAGTAAACAAATGCCAACTGCTGTTTCTAAAAGTTGAAGGCCAGGATGTCCTAAATGCAAAAAATAATTTTGGGGATTCAGATATAAGATACCTTACTTTTGAACAAAGTAAAAAAAATATCTGAAATCAAATTTTATACATTATATGTCCCATCTTTAATGTATTATGAGCCTCAAAGAATGTATCAAAAATTCCAAATTACGTGTTTTGATTTCCTGTAATGATTCACTTAACAAAAAATGAGGCAATTTCCCTTTGGGAGGTTATTATGTTCTTAGATTTTCATTTTTTTTTATTTATTTACAAAATAAGCTTTGCAACAAAACGTTTTTTTTAATTTAGAAAACATGGAATGTAATCAAAGAGAGACAGCCAGCAAGATAAATCACCTCTCAGGTTAGTTTGTCTTTATAGAGCCATTCTTTGTAATGACTTGGCATTTTATATAGGAGCTATAGCATGCATCGTCTCAGAAATTCTCCGAACTCTCTATGATGAAATTTTTTTTATACCATAAAGTCAAATCAGGCACAAAATGTATTGCTATGTTTCGTGGTCTCCATGGCAACATGCCCAAAAGTTTGAAATAAATGACATTTTTAATATGTTCTTAGCTAACACTTGCAGCAAAGTAATCATATGCCAACTGCTGTTTCTAAAAGCTGAAGGCCAGGATCTCCTAAATGCAAAAAATATTTTTGGGGACTCAGATATAAGATACCTTACTTTTGAACAAAGTATTAGAAGCAGCAAGTTAATTCATTCAGTTTTTGTAAAGTTATACATAAACAATAAAAGCTGTTCAACCAAATACAGTATATAGAATACTTGTTACAGATACTTAGAAAGGAATGTGATATTTCTTATTGACTTGTAATGCTTGCCATGATTTAAGTACCTTAAATGTATTCCAAATTTACCTTCTGCATGATTTAATCTGATCCTTTCATTTTTTAAAAAATACATTTCTTAATAACTGGTGATCCAGTGATTAAAAGAATGACATGGGAAAATGTGCAAATTCCCTATTTTGTGAGGTTACTGTACTTTTAGATTTTCATTTTTCTCATCAATGACTACACATATAAGCTTTACAACTGAAAATCTATTATTTTATTTTATTTTAGAAAACATGGAATGTAATCAGAGAAACACAGCCAGCAAGATAAATCATCTCTCAGGTTAGTTGGGCGTTTTGAGAGCCATTCTCTGTAATGATTTCACATTTCATAAAAGAGCTATTGGAAAGCATAGTCTAAGATTTTCTCCGAACTCACCATGTTATAAGTCTTTTATACTGTTAATTTAAATCAGGCAAAAATTGGTTGCTATTTCTTATGGTCGCCATGGCAACATGCCCTTAAGTTTGAAAAAAAATCATTTGTTTACCATGTGTAGAGTCCCATAGTAAGCGTTTGCAGCAATGTAAATGAATAGCAATGGCTGTTTCTAAAAGTTGAAAGCCAGGATGTCCTAAATGCCAAATAGATATATTTGTGGATTCAGATATTAGATACGTTACTATGGTAACCATATATTCAAAGCAGCAATTTTAGTCATTCATTTTTGTAAAGTCATAAACCAAAAATAAAAGCTATGCAACCAAATATATAGAATACTTGTGACAGATACCAAGAACGAAATGTAATATGTCTCGATGGGACATTATGGTTGCCATGGTTGTAATTCCAAATATGAATTACAAATTTTCTCTCTGTATAATTTAATCTGATACTATCATTTAAAGAAAGATTTCTATATAACTGGTGATCCATTCTTAGAGAATTTGTCGTGGAAAAATGTGCTAATATCCTCTTTTGTGAGGTTACTATATTTTTAGATTTTCATTTTTCTGATCAATGAATACAAATAAAAGCTTGACAACAAAATGTCTTTTATTCTTATTCTAGAAAACATGGAATGTAATAAGAGAGACACAGCCAGCAAAATAAGCCACCTCTCAGGTTAGTTAGGCATTTTGAGAGCCATTCTCTGTTTAGACTTTTAATTTCATATAGGAGCTGTGAATTAATTTTATATATAATCTAGAAAAATAAGATAAGGACAAAGAGAAGTGTTAATTTTTTTTTAAAGTTCATAAATACTTTAATGGTTCAACATTTTAAAACAACTTCTCTTGTTAGGAATTCAAACAATTATTGTTAAACGAACACAAGCGCACCGGTTTCTTGGATCTGTGACAAACATTGATTACGATATGCCCCTAATTTGTTATCCATTAATTATGAGATACTCTATGTATGGAAAACGTATCCAAAGTTCTTCATTCCTTAATCTTCACCATGGTGCGGGAGTCGTTTTTATCCCTCACATAAAAAATATTAAAATCTTTTTTTCAATTTCAAAAGTTTTATTGAAATTGTATGCAATGATGCGATTTACCATTATAGGTCAAATCAGAGACTTTACCTAAAATCACATAGGAAAACCTATGTACTGAATTGTGTACAAGGTGACTTCGTATTTGTGTACGAGTTGACTTTTTGTGTTCGACTTGGTTCGTGTTCGACTCGGTTTGTGTACGACTTGACTGTAAATCTGGCACAAATCGTCTAAGAATTTCTCCGAACTCAACATGATGAAATTCTTATATAACGTTAATTTAAATCAGACAAAAATTGTTTTCTATGTTTCATGGTCTAAATAGCAACATGCCCTTAAGTTCGAAAAAAAGACATTTGTTTACCATGTTCAGAATCCCATAGTACGCGTTTGCAGCAATGTAAATGAATAGCAATGGCTGTTTCTAAAAGTTGAAAGTCAGGATATCCTAAATGTAAAATAAATATTTTTCGGGATTCAGCTATTAGATACGTTTCTATGGAAACCATATATTCAAAAGCAGCAATTTTAGTCATTCATTTTTGTAAAGTCATAAACCAAAAATAAAAGCTATGCAATCAAATTTATAGAATACTTGTTACAGATACCAAGATACCAGATACGAAATGTAATATGTCTTGATGGCTCATTATGGTTACAATGGTTGTAATACCAAAAATAAATTTCAAATTTTCTCTCTGTATAATTCAATCTAATCATATCATTCAAAAAAATCACTTCTATATAACTGGTGATCAATTTAAAGAGAAATTGAAGTGCTAAGTGAGATTACTATACTTTAAGATTTTCATTTTTCTTATTAATTAATAAAAATTAAAACTTGGCAATTAAATTTAATTTATTTTAGAAAACATGGAATGTAATCAGAAAGACACAGCCAGCAAGATAAATCACCTCTCAGGTTAGTTGGACCTTTTGAGAGCCATTCTCTGTTTAGACTTAAAATTTCATATAGGAGCTGTAGCACGCATCGTTTCAGAATTTCACCGAACTTAAGATGATGAAGTCTTTTATACCGTTAATTTAAAGCAGCAAAAATTTGGTCTATGTTTCATGGTCGCCATGGCAACATGCCCTAAATTTTGAAATTAAGACATTTTACCATGTTCAGATTACCATTGTTAATGTTTACAGGTAAGCAAACAAATGACAATAACTGTTTCTGAAAGTTGAAAGCCAGAATGTCGTAAATGCAAAATAGATATATTTGGGGACTCAGCTATTTGATAGGTTACTATAAAAACATAATATTCCAAAGCAACAATTTTAGTCGTTCATTTTTGTAAAGTGAAACATTAAAAATAAAAGCAATGCAACCAAATTTAAAGAATACTTGTTCCAGACACTTTCAACAAAATGAGAGATTGCTTATCGACTCGTAATCGTTGCCATGGTTTTATTACAGAAAAGGGATCTCAAATATTTTCTCAGCGTATGAATTAATCTGATCTTATCATTTAAACAAATCATTTCTAAAATATGTTTTACGGTGTGACCTTTGGGGCGAGCGCAGTTATGTACTATGATATACTTACACATGTACCGCCTATCATTCAAGAAAAAGAAAGAAAAAAGAAAACAAAATAATTAAAAAAAACACATCCCAAGCATCGGGATCGACATTCAGAACTTCTCGGAAGTTTCCGACAAAATCGGAAATACCCGAACCGTTAAAGTGACGAAAGTATGACATCAGATAAAAAGTCCTGTTGACTTAATTAGGAGGCAAACCATGCAAACGATAGTTTTATGGTATGGAGATTGCATTAGATCGTTGTTTGTAATTTATTTCAAGTAAGTTGTTGCTATGTTTTAGCCACCATGTTGCTATGCACCGCAAAGGATTATTGGAAGATTGGAATTTTTTCACGTGGACTCATAAAAATTTCTTGGAATAATGTGCAGATTTCAACCTGAATTTCCTCTGTTCGTACACGTTAGTCTATTGAGCTCGCTACGCGAGCGGCGCTTCGCGCCGCCTTGCAGCGCTCGCTATAACTGTTGATCAATTGTAAGAGACATTGATGTGGAAAACTGTGATAATACCCTCTTTTGTGAGGTTACTGTACTTTTAAATGTTTAATTTTCTTATCAATAAATACAAATAAAAGTTTGATAACCAAATGTCTTTTATTTCATTTTAGAAAACATGGAATGTATTCAGAGAGACACAGCCAGCAAGATAAGTCACCTCTCAGGTTAGTTGGGCATTTTGAGAGCCATTGTCTGTTTAGACTTGACATTTCATATAGGAGCTGTAGCACGCATCGTCTCAAAATGTCTCTGAACTCTCTATGATGAATGTCTTTTATACCGTTAATTTAAATCAGGCAAAAATTGGTTGCAATGTTTCATGGTCTCCATGGTAATATGCCCTAAAATTTGGGAAAAAAGGACATTTTTTTTATATGTTCAGATTAACATTGTAAACGATTGCAGCAAAGCAAAAATGACAATGGCTGTTTCTAAAAATTGAAAGCCAGGATGTCCTAAATGCAAAATAAACATATTTGGGGATTCAGCTATTAGATACGTTACTTTTGAAACAAAATATTCAAATAATATTTCTTATTGGTTCATAATGGTTACCATGGTTTTAATACCGAAAAGTGATCTCAGATTTACTCTCTGTAATATTAAATCTGATCATTTTAAAATGTTCATTTCTTTATACCTGGTGATCAAGTAAAAGATACATTGATTTGGTCCCAATTCTTACATCTTTAAAAATTCAAACTGAATTCTTTGAATAGAGCGTTGCTATGAATTTTAACGGTAAAAAATCATGCTAAAAAGATGACAATTATTTCGTTTTCTTTCTGTACGCAACCTGTATGATTTATAATTATTAACAACTACGCAGCATTGTTAAGGCTTACTATGAAGAAATCAACAGAACAAAAACCAATGTATGCCATTGCGAAAAGGCGATTTAACTATGCACTTCGATGTTAAATATGCCAAACCTGTATACAAAAGCACGGTAAAATTAATTAAATACATTCTCTTGATTATTTTTGAATAATCGCACTAAACAATGGTTTATTTGGTATTAACAGACTATCTTAAATTTGTAAGTAATATTCTGTTTATTAATAAAAGGCATTATTCACTGTAAAAAAAATATTTTAACTGCATCTCAATGCACATAAAATACGTCATTTTTACCAAAATTACTTTATGTCGACAAGCTCTTTGCGATCAGTTGTTTGTTTATAACCTGCCGTGCGGGATTTAATAAGCCACTTTTTTTAATGCATTGATAAGTTTTGTTGTTGTCTATTATGCTAATACGCTTTAACATGTTTAAGTACGCAAATTATTTCACTTTCTGGTATTATGGGAAAAACTATTATGTGTGATGTCACAGTAGAAGTTTCCCGTATAAATTAGGTCCCGCCCGCTTATTTCAAGTTTAACAGTGCTGTGTAACAAGAATTTCAATTTTGACCAACACACAATCTCTTGCATGATGTAAGAAGCTTCCACATAGGATTTGATATTGCTATTAAGTTAACAGAATCCAACATCTTCCATTCTTGGTAACCATCGCAGTAGTGTTATTTTTTAACAAACTTTATCAATATATGATATTCACCTTAACTTCTATGAGAAAAGTTCTATTCGAGGTAAATCAATTAATTTGTTTCTTGATTAAAAGATAACCAGATCCCTAAAGCAGCAAAACTGTTATTTTACACCACTGGAACGTTGTTTCCATAATTACACTGCAAAGAAGCAATTAATCCCATTTTGTCAAATTTATATGTGCTACAAGGTCCACACAATGTATAATTGGCAGTCTTGAATTTCTATGTTCTCTCAAGGTAGAAGTATTAACTAAAGCTTAGCAATTAATTTTATATAACTTCACTGTGTTTCTATGACATTCAATAACACTTATTTTAGAATAATGTTTACTAGTCTCTAATTAATTATGGTCAAACATTTAATTGTTTTTCTTAAAGTTGTTCATTGACTTTTATCATGTAAAACCTATCATTAGTGAAGATTAAACGTTTTTCGGCATTTTTTAGCATTTAAAATATATTCCAAATGTTCCTATGTTAACATTTACTTAGAGATATAATATACTGAAACGCAAAAGAAACGCAACAATCAATAATCAACAAATATTTTATTTTTTATCTTAAGATTTTCAAATTTTAATACAGTAAGGTGATACTCGATTTATAAACATCAGAGATTTGATTAAAATGTTAAATGAATATCTTTTAACTTTAGAATATATTGATTGATTGTATACTGTTTAACGTCCCTCTCCAGAATATTTCACTGATATGGAGACGTCACCATTGCCGGTGAAGGGCTGCAAATTTAGGCCTATGCTCGGCACTTACGGCCTTTGAGCAGGGAGGGATCTTTATCGTGCCACACCTGCTGTGACACGGGGCCTCGGTTTATACGGTTTCATCCGAAGGACCGCCCCATTTAGTCGCCTTTTACGACAAGCAAGGGGGTACTGAGGACTTATTCTAACCCGGATCCCCACGGGGCAACTTTAGAATATAACATAGCCGTTAAATATCCCCTCTTCCGGCAATTCAATTACAGCGTGGAAGACTGCCATGCACGATTAATGCAGTTTGATTTCTACATTACGGCATTACGTTCATCAATCCCGAGATCTTAGTAAATAAAATATTCTTTGACATTTTTCAATGCCTGTTTTTTCAGATGACGAGGTCGAATTTCCTCTAACCTAAAGCAGTGTATTAACTCCTGGACTTCCGGTCCACCGACTACATGTCATTTATAATAATAATACGTATCAGCCTGTTGATGTAATGTAGTGCACATTTGCATTTTGCAATTCTCGACCACCTTTATTATGAGATTTTCCAGCCAGAGCAATGGAAATGCTTAAGTCATTTTAAAGAAGCATTAACATCGTTTCAGGAAAAGAAATTAGAAGTAATTTTTCGGAATATTACTTCATTAGATACAAACCTTTAAAACCCCATACTAGTGCCAAATGTTTTGTTAGACATGAAATTTCTGGTTTCTGTAATGCGGACTCAAGCATAACTTGCGGTAATGGTGTGACAATCATTCAACCGTTAGATTACCGATATTAGCAGAGTTGAAGATATCCTTACTTTATAGATACAAGATTATATCCCTATATTTAACATTTCCCCCTACGATAGGATAATGCGTTTCTTTTTCGTTTCAGTATAGTTGACAAAAGATTTGTTTGTTTTTCTTAATCTTTCTTAAGGTAAGTCACTCCTGAAATTTGTTATATCAAGGATTTTTTTAGAAGTATATTTTGGATAAGTACTCATAAAGTGTAACTCAAAATCGCAAAGAAAATAGGGGGTCAGTGAGCATCCTACTGATCTACGGTACATTTAAGTTGACCTTTTTGCACTTAAATTTCATCTCTTTGGTTAATTACTTTAACCCTTATCATATTTGATTAGATGTAAGCATGGCAATAAATTTAATCTAATTTTACGTAAAATAGTTTGAATAATATTTATCATTACACAAATCTTGCAAATTAATGCGCGTAAATTATTGTGTGACCTTTTTGCACTAAAAAATAACATATTTAGGGTATTAAAAAACTTAATAGGCAATAAAAAAATTTCTTATATCAAACTTTTTACGACTTGAGTGCTGATCGGTCACAAGTATCGAGTAGTTTAAAATAATGAAAGAAAAAGGTGGGGTCAGTGATGTTAATTTTGAAATATTTGTCAAAATATGTGATTTTCAGGCAAAAAATGGTGTAAATTTGACCTTGACTTCTTTCATATATTTTCATTTTTTGGAAAAGTTTGTTGAGGGAAGGTGTAAAACTTAGCTTAAAAACATAAATTAAGACCTATATTAAATGTTTTTAGCAATATCAAAACGGAAAATATTCTCCGAGAAAAAGTATGTGAGGCTAAATTTCCATTACATTAAATTTTATAAATGTGCAGATTTGCAGAATTTTCTGCTAAATATCCTTCCACCAAAAGAAATAGTCCCTCATAAATCTTGCTTCTTTGTAGATTTTTGAGCAGTTTTTTTCATTGAATGTTAAAAAATTTACATTGTTGAATTTAAATATGTTATAAAAATTGAATTTTAAAAAGTAGTTTTGAAGTAAAAGCTTCTGCGTGAACTTTTCTAAAAAGCTGACGAGTGACTTACCTTAAGGCTCAATAAAGATTACAAAGAGCTGAAAATCTAAAATTTTCAAAGTTTTCCAGCTGTTACCATCTGATGGCAAATAAAACATTGCAAACAAACTATGTGTTTGGTGTAAAATTTACAAAGGTTACAGAGAAAAGCTCGTAAACATTTTGATTTTAAACGGACATTTTCAAAAGGTATAGGGGTCATAAAATGATTGAAAACAATAACACTTAAAAATCTCAATTTTGATAATTTTTACATAGAAAAGTCCCAAAACCCGTTTTAATAATATAACAGTAAGAATTGCTTTAGCAATATGTAAGTAATTGAATTATACCGAAAATTTAGACTGATATAACCAAAACTGTTTCGTTTTCCTTTTAAAATGAAAGTTTTAAAAATAACCTTAGATAAATATGCAAGTCCGACGCCAAAATCCGATGGTTGCACCAATGTATAATGGTCTGCGCCAATCTCCGATGGTCTGGTGTCGATACGGACGCCAAATGCAGATGGTCACACAAAAGTCCGATGGCTTGTTTACCATGAAACATGCTGCACAAAACTTCAATGGCCTGACACGCCAAATCCAGTCCGATGTCGTTGGAAAATAATCAACGAAAATGACGTCAAAATATTCTGAATTCAATCATTTTAGTCTTTGTCCGGAATTCGAAAGCTAGCAAATTAAGATAAGTCTTGGCCTTTAGCTTGGATGATTTTGCTGATGAAATATAAAGGTTAGGACTCATATTCCACTAGACTGATAAAGGTTGGTATTTGCACACTCTTGTGCTGATTGTGGCAGAACTTTACACCCACCTGAGAGATAATATAAGCATAAGTTTTCGCTGTGCAAGTTTTCCACTCTATTCGACGGAATAGGGTTAAACTTGCACCCACCAAAGAGATTTATGGTACATCCTGAAACAATTTTCGACTGATAAGAACAAGCCTCTCTCCACCGAGGATGTTACACATTTGTCGGCAATTAGGGGTACTGTAGCAGTCTCGTATCCACTTGAATATTGAGAGCTAATGATTTAATTATATTTTTGAGCCTTATTTTGGTGAACGATGTAATTTTGGCGATCAAATATTTTAAATATTCGTTTGCATAAATATTAAACGATCGGACCTTTAAAATTGCGATTTTTTACAATTTGGTGCACTAGCACTTTATGATATCATGGGGATAAATTGTTTTCCTGAATCAGCGTGACAAAACCTTTGTGGTTTGAAAGATAAATACAATGCTTAGAAAACATGAACGGTATAAAGCCTTCTATTTGTTTGAAAAGTATACGGTTAAAAGTTAAATTGATGTTACTTACTTTGAATCATGATGGATGTATATTAATTGTTTAATTCGCAGATACATTAAAAGAAAAAATGAGCATATATTCTCTAAGACAGAAGAAATTTCAGGATGAGCTAAAAGGAGATTTTCAGAGGCAGAAATCAATTAGCATACCAGAAAACATAAGAGGTATTTTGATATTTTTAATTAAAATTGCTGAATTACAAACAAATGTCAACTTCTCTCTTCTGCCCCCCTTCCTAATGCCTATCGGTACTTACATTTGTTGTGATATAGCTTTACCAAGAAAAAAGATAAAACCCTTAATTTTTAATAAGTTAACAATAATAAAAACCAATATACAATATACTAATTATAAATAAGTGTCTACTCCTACAGGTTTCCGCATCACTGGTAAGACAAAAATGGAAACAACTGAACGCTAAATACTTTAAAATCCAGTTTATTAAAGAATTGTTTTGTGTGAAATATAATCTGGAAATTTTTTAAAGTACTACATTTCACCCTCCCTCGCCTGTCACAAAAAAGACAGTAGCTTCACAGAATCTTTCCTATCTGTTCGTGATCGTCTTTCAAACACTTTTTTGTCAATTGTCTCATAATTTTATCGATATTTTTTTTCTATTTGTAGGTTAAAAAAACATACAAGGGTAACTCAGTAATGATAATAAAGCAGTCTTGTTTAATATATTTCATCAAGGAAACATTTGGAGATAACGAACAGTATTCGAGCTGAAAAGTCCTTCAAACATTACAAAATAGGAGCAGAGCAAACACGGACCTCAAAAATACAGAGGTGGGATCAGGTGCCATGGAGGAGTGAGCATCCTCTGTCGACCGGTCTCACCTGTCGTGTGCTCCTTATTTTGTTCGGGAAGACACGGGAAAATCCGTCCACAATTCAGTGTGTAAACAATCAGTATGAAAAAAGTTAGGGTTTGACTTAATGATAGATTGTATTTGCTAACAAGGTCATTATATCGACTATAGAACTATAGAAAGATAATTGTGGAAGAAACCAAAATAATTACTAAATGCAACAACAATATTTACGTTGTAAGAATTCATGTGATATATAACATAATATTCGAACAGTCGATAAATATATCAAGTATTAAAGTATTATATTTACATTTGCAAATGTTTTCCTTTATATAACACTACTGAAAGCAAGCTTTTTATAACTGTATAAATACAGGTACGGGGTCAAGAGGTCATAGATGTGCGTTTGGATAAACGTTCGACGTAATCTCTGTGTGACGTCATAAAGGTTCGACGCGCGTTTAGGGGATTACATTCATGCCGTTGGGTTTGAAAAATAATGCTTTTCGGACGTTAAAAGTAATAATCAGGCAAATTTAAAGTATGAATAAGTCACATATGTAAATATAAGTAAGGTATCATTTTTTGAGTTTTATTGAGATGTAAAACGGGTTGGCACATGATCAAATCTTCCATAAAGCACTTCGTGCTTTATGGGATTTGATCACGTGACCAACCCGTTTTACATCTCAATAAAACTCAAAAAATGATGCCTTATTTCTTAATTAATTGACTTTTAATATCTTTTAATATATAGTTAAATTTTATATAAAGGACAATGATCTGATTCCACGTCATTGCTCTCAAACTCAAACTGTGAAGTTCAGTAAATATTAAAAATTCCTCAACATTTTCAATTCTATATTGTCAAAAAAAGTTTTTGAATAAGAGCAAAAAGAACAGCAATAACTTTATACACTAGACAAAATTGCCAACGCACCACCTGAGAGAATTAATATTTTCGTTTTGAAAATTTGTTTATGATGTATTAGATATATAATCATGTTACTTTAATAAAAAATAAGGTATATAAATGTCAAACCTTATAAATACTCAGTAACTACGATGGTTGATCTAAAAGTAATGTCGCAACTTTGATAAAATTGCTAAAAATCGACGTAAAGCAACAAAATTATACAAGATGAAAGCTTTATTTATTTTAAATCAGACCTGAAAACTTCAAAGGAATATGATGTATACTTATAAAAATATCGGATTTTAAACAATGTCCATTTATGGTAGTCGCCGCACCTAAATATAACGTCATATGACGGATAAACACCGTAATAGTTTTGAGCGTTTCCCCTTCGTTTCATTAAAAATATTTGTAATTCGCAAACACTTTTACCAATTCCACTTTCTTTAAGAATTCTTGGTACCATTATACAATGACCTTTTTCATAATTAAGCCCTCTGTCAAAATGTTTTGAGCAGTAGCATAAGGCAAACTTAAAAATTCACATGTCACTCTATACGTTTGTCTTTTTTGACAACGTCAGACACCATTGAACGTTTCCGTCCGATCTCCTATCTTTCGTTCTTCTTGTCCTCTGCTAATCATTCAGTGATCAATCACCAGCCCAAAATTGCTGAAATCATCCATTAAGATGTCTCTTATATACATTTTTTATTCTGTAAGTCTGATTAATTAACAAAATTGTCGCTAGTGATTATTCCCATGTTTTGAAGCAAAAATGCATTACAACTCGTCGAGCCTTTTTTCCCCATTTCGACAATCCCTTTGTTAAATTCAACAGAGTAAAACAACGATGTTTATGATCACATATATCAATGCCGTCATTTATTTACAATCAAAGTGGATTTGGTATGGACACTAAGGCAGTGAATGATTACTATGCGATATGATAGTCAATGGCTGTTTGTTATTTGATTTATAACTGGGGGAATACCTCTGTGGTAACCTCACAGACCACCTTTAGTGATCAAGAATTTCATATCTAGGCAAAAACGGCGCACAGTGCACATCGGGATATTGGTTTTCGGACAAGAAGTTCATTCAAATTTTCATGATACCAAGACATTTGTCAACCTCACTGTTTTGGAAATAATGGCATATTATATATACTAGTACTTGCACCGATCCGGTGTAAAGACGAATAATGACCCCCATCGAATAATGACCGGGGGGTCATTTTTCAACGACAAAAAATGACCCCCACCGGTAGAAAAAAATCATTTTTGTATAAAAAGAGTCCTAAGGGGTCATTATTTTATATGTTTGTCCTATAAAATAATGACCCCCATTGAAAAATGACCCCCTTTAAAGTGATACAAAATAAACACTCTTTGATATCTTTTTTTACAACGAAACTAATTTTTTTACATTTTCTGTAACCAGAAAAATACAAAAAGTCGTATAAAATAATTAAGAGATTCACATCGTCTTTCAATGCTAAAATTGTGTTTGAAAAGAGATTCTTTAATTGTCAAGTAAATAAAATTTCTTTTTAATATTCCTCCTTATAATGTTTGCTTAAAGAATGATATTCCACTTGTTTTTAGAAATCAAACCATGCAAAAATCAGGTTTAAATACTCTTTAATAGGAAAAATTAATTTTTTTGTCATTTCAACTTTTAGCTTGTTTAAGTTTGGCAAATCCTATTTGACAATGAAAGAGGAGGAAATTTTTATCCTCCTCCCAAAAAGAACATTACGTTAAATCAAAAAAAAAAAAATTAATAATAATAAATGAAAAGCAAAAATATAAATAAAACTCTATACCTTTCAATAATTCTGAAAGAGGCTCTAAATAAAATATTGAAATGAAGTTAAGCCTTCACACAAGTACTGTCATATCATAATTTACTTCGCCATGATTAAAGCATACTTTAAATGTTGTTGGAGGTATACTTGAAAGTATTGTGGCAAAGTAACAGTTAAAAATTAGTAGAATAGTAGATTATTTTAAGCTTATTTTTAATTCCTTCTTATAGAAATGTAAAGGTAGGGTGTTTTTTTTGCTTTTATTCAATATCGACTTCCTCCTAAATAAGAAGGGGGGGGGGGGTTAAGTATAAGACCTAAAAATATGCTCTGTAAAGCTATGGGCTAGTGTAAAATACACAGTCATTCTTATGCAAAAACTATACATGTAGACATAAACTTTTGATTTAGCACACAGTATTCATTACATTTTTTTTAACGTAGAACCCACTTCGTATGACATCATAACTGGTAAATGTGTTTAACCTGTGCTAACCCATTAAGACGTCATAATTAATTCAATGCCACTTTTTCCCGTACTTGACAGCTTCAATAGAAATGGTAGAAAATACTGCATTTTGAAATTCACAGAATTCAATCATGCCAACATAATCTTAATTCAATTCATATATTTTTGGTTTAAAATGCTTAATGGCAATATATTTCTGGAATAAGAGAAAATATGTAGGCACCTTTTATCTACTAGATCTAGACCTGAAGTTGACAAACCCACTATTTAGTGTAATGAAATTACAATGTACATATACAACTTTCGTAATAATTTGAATGGTATGTAACCATTTTGAAGGAATGAATAAATCGTAATAAATCTATAATGAAATGATGTGCATTCCTTTTAACAATTATTATTATCTATTCATATTACCTATTCATATTTTTGGTGTTTGATTTTTCGATTAAATATGATCTTTTTAAAGTAAAGGTATAATTTCCGATAAATATTTGATCTGAAAGTAACCCCAAACAGTCATTTAATCATTAAATCCCATGTACGTGCAAAAAGGTCAAGAATATGAGTATCGGTAAAAAGCCTATCTTTCGTTAGTTAGAGGGGAAAGGTATATATTTTAATCACTTTTTTATAATCATTTGGCTATGTTCTTCATCATATTAAAGATTGAAAATATTGTGACAAAGACTTTTAAAGAATATTGACAAATGTAGGGTGCATAATTGACTAAAAATAATAGAGTTCATTTGATTATTTTATTTAATGGTGGACTTATCTTTTATGTTCATTGAATAAAAGAGAAATTATTCTTGATGAAATATTGTTTAATATTATTTAGTTAATAAAGTTTATAAACGACGATGTTTAAAGAAGTATTTTTTGTGATTTTTCATATTCCCTTTATGACAAGTACCCCTAAAAATATTTTAAAATGTGAAGTCGCAGTATGTAAATAACATACCAAGTTTCACAGCCTGTTCTGTTTTACTCAGTTCTGAGTATATTTTTCAGAGAATTTAATATGAAAATCAGAACAAATATTTTCATTGTTGTAACGTCTTCTTTATAATGTATCATAATATGAAAAGTTTATTGAAGACCATTTCTTTTTATGTCACCGTAATCGAAGATTCGGGGGTATATAGTTTTATCGTGTTTGTCTGTATGTCCGTCTGTCTATCTGGCGGTTTGTTTGTCAGCAAAAACCTTAACCTTGACCATAACTTTTCATTTATTGGAGCTATGACTTTCATATTTAATATGTGTATTCCTTGTGACAAGACCTTACTTTGGGTACCACCAAATTTGACCTTTTGACCTTTACCTTGGAGTTTGTCCCATTTTTCACAAAAATGCCAAATTTTTACTTTGGCCATAACTTTTAAACGGTAGATACTAGTACTCTCATACTTCAAATATGTAGTTTTTTGGTATTACCTTTCATTGGATACTAAAAACTTTGACCTTTTGACCTTGACCTTGCAGATTGCCGTACTTATGCTCTTTTTTTACCTTGGCCATAACTTTTGAACGGTAAGGGCTAGGGTATTCATACTTCACATATGTAATCCTTGTTACATTAAACATTTTCTTAAGAAATCATCAACTTTGACCTTTGAGTTTGACCTACCTTTCAAAAACTTATCCTTAGCCATTACTTTTGAACAAGTGGTGCTAGGGTTTTCCTATTTTGGAGTTGTATTTCTTGTGAGAAGACCCTACTTTGGGTAATAATATATTTAAATTGTATTTAAGAAAAGTTTAATCTTCGCTATGTTGCCATACAGGGGCATAGCTGTTTCACAAACACATCTTTTTTTTTTATATGAGGATTTGCGGATAAGAGAGGATACCTCAAAGAGTAACAGACGGTCGGACGGACATCCCGATCACTATGTACCCTCCCGCTTTTCAAGCGGAGGATATAATAATATATAATACTTCTGATATTTTTCTGTCAGTTCGATGATTTCCACAATCAAAAAACAATGTTTACCCAACCTTAAGGCTTGATAAATCTTTTACTCCTTTAGATTCTGAATCATTGCATTGACCTTAAATATAGCTATAATTGTATAATGTTATGAGATCAATATATTATCAATTTATTTCCAATTAGCTCAGATGAGCATTTTGGCCAATATGCTTCTTTATCTAATTTTTTTTGCCCCCTAAGAATTTTAGCTTTAATCTACAGGAGGTCATTTTTCTACGGGGATCATTTTTCTTCACGTGGGTTCTGCAAATTTTTAGGGTGATGACACTTTTTCTATGGGCAAAAGGGTCATTTTTCGCTGTCGAATAATGACCGGGGGTCATTTTTCGCTGTCGAAAAATGACCTCTGGTCATTATTCGATGGGGATCATTATTCGTCTTTACACCGGCAAATGTTCAATTCACAAATAAAAATTAACAAGTGGTGCGTTAGCAATTTTGTCTAGTGTAAAATCTTTAAATGGTAAAATTGCAGTAAGCGTATATCTAAATAAGTTAAGTTATAAGAAGGTTAAACAGTGCTTTTATAAAATGAAGAACATTTTAAACATTATTTTTAAAACAAGGATTCTTTAATCACCAGATCTACATAGAAAAATATTGGATTCATGGAAGAAAGGAGTCTTTTTTGAAACCTCCTCATATGGAAACATGAAAGAATTTTTTTTATCCAATCAAATTGTGGTTGTGGTTGGGCCTCCTGGGTCTGGAAAAACCGCTTTGATCCGCCACATCGCTTTACAGCTTGAGTCCGAGTATCAGATTGTTCCAGTCTCCAAACCTGAGGAAATTATCAACTACGGCGATCTAAACAGACCACAAATATTTGTCATAGACGATGTATTAGGTGTTTTTACTTTAGAAAGAAATTTGTTGTCAGATTTAGAAAGACATAGTAAACAAATCGAAGATGTTCTTAATAGAAGATCAAAATTTCTCATGTCCTGTAGATTGGCAGTATACAATGAGGCAAAGTTATTAGATGTAGTGTTTCTTGAAATTGATAAAATCCTTAATTTGAATGAAAAGAATATTCTTACTTCTGAAGATCAAAAAGGTATATTTGAATCTCATATGAACAATGCAGGGATTTCATGTGAAATAGATTTAAAACTTTTGCACAGAAAGGACGTCTTCATGTTTCCACTTCTCTGTCAAATGTTTAGCAGTGACAAAAGCGTCAGACAACACGGAGAAGAGTTTTTTACCCGTCCATCCAAGTGCTTACAATCAGAAATAAATAAGATTCAGAAGAGAAATAAAATACAATATTTATCAATTGTTCTCTGCATGCTTAACAATAATTGCCTATCTGAAGAAATGCTTAGTAAATGCAAAATGTTCCAAGAAGTATGCAGATCTTGCAAAGTTAAGGAAAACACTGAAAATTGGGAAATATTTAAGGAATTGTCACACTTAATAGACACCTACATTACAAAAGATGATGAAAGATATACATTTATCCATGATTCAATATTTGAAGTTGTTGCATATCAATATGGACAGCAATTTCCTGATCAAATTTTGGACTATATGAACAGTAATTTTATTGCAAACAAAGTTGTTTTGGACACCAAAGAAAATACATGTAATGACGCAAAATGCATAAGATTAAACAAGTTCCAATATGAAAAACTTGCAAAAAGATTGTATGCTGATGTTAAGTCTGGAAAACTACACGATGTCTTCTTAAATAAAGCATTGAGGGACTGTGTCTTCAAACAAAAGTTCATAGACAGTTTGAAAAGAATGCCATATGAAGATGTCAAAAAAGAATTTTTATTACCTAGAAAAGAAAGTTTCGATAATGTAGTTTTTGACTCACAGAAAGAAAGTGAAAAACAAATCGACGAAACAAAAGGACAGAGAGAGTCTGAAAGACAAAATCTTCTGCTTGGTCTAAAATGCATTGACCAAAAGAAAATCTATGAAATACGTGCTCTTAGTTTCATAATCTATTACGGGCACCTCGATTTGCTTAATTATTTTATAAAATTGGTGAAAAGATATCAGGCATTAGATATCATTTTTGGATCTTCACCCGAAGAACAAGTAAGACTTCTTGTATTGGCGTGTTTCAATGGAAATTTAGATATGGTGAAAATTCTGGTGGAATATATTAGAAAGGAAAATATCAGTTCAATGCCTGTAGGAGATATCAAACCATCGCACAATAAACATCGATACATTACTCCAGTGATTGCTGCTTGCTTGAGAGAGAAATATGACGTTGTAAAATACTTAGTTGATAATGAAGCAGATTTAAATCCTCAAAAAAGTTATTATCCTGCTTTATGGACACCAGCTAGAACCGGGGATCTCAGAAAAGTAATGGAGTTACTCAAATTTGGTGCTGATTGTAACAAATGTAGTGGAAGGGAAATTTCTCCTTTGTATATGGCATCAAGATTCGGTCATTTGGAAGTCGTTAAAAAACTCATTGAGCATGGTGCCGACATTAACAAGTGTGATATTAAAGGTTGGTCATCTTTGCATATAGCATCACTACATGGCCATTCATTTGTTTTAGAAACATTAATCCATAAGGGTGCTGAGTGCGATCGATGCGATAAAAATAAAGTAACTCCTTTACATAGAGCGTCTTTAGAAGGTCATGTTCCTGTTGTAGAAATTTTATTGAAAAATGGTTCAAACATCAACAAGTGTGAAATTCATGGTTCATCGTCTTTGCATCTAGCTTCATTAAATGGTCATTTGTCTGTTGTAGAGACATTACTACTGCACGGTGCTGAGTGTGATAGATGCGATGAAGAAAATCTAACACCCCTACATTTTGCTTCATTTAGAGGATTTGTTCTTGTTGTAGAAAAATTAATAGAACATGGTGCTGACGTCAACAAGTGTAACAATAATGGTCGGTCTTCTCTGCATTTAGCTTCACAAAATGGTCAATTGTCAGTCGTAGAAAAATTAATTTCCCACGGTGCTAAATGTGACCAATGCGATATAAATAAATCAACTCCTTTGCATTTTGCATCCGAGGAAGGCCATCTTCCTGTTGTAGAAAAACTGATTGAACATTGTGCTGATGTCAAAGTATGTAACATTCAGGGTCAGTCGCCTCTGCATTTAGCATCAAAACGTGGTCATTTGCATGTAGTAGAAACATTAATTCGACACGGTGCTAAATGTGACCAAAGCGATATAAATAAATCAACTCCTTTGCATTTTGCATCCGAGGAAGGCCATCTTCCTGTTGTAGAAAAACTGATTGAACATTGTGCTGATGTCAAAGTATGTAACATTCAGGGTCAGTCGCCTCTGCATTTAGCATCAAAACGTGGTCATTTGCATGTAGTAGAAACATTAATTCGACACGGTGCTAAATGTGATCAATGCGATAACAATAAATTAACCCCTCTACATAAAGCGTCTTTTGGGGGTCATTCTCTCGTGGTAGAAAAAATTATTGAAAGTGGAGTCGATATCAACAAGTGTGATAATAAAGGTTCATCACCTCTTCTTTTAGCCATATGGGAGGGCCATCTTCCAGTTGTCGAAAAGCTCATTGAACACGGTGCAGACACAAACACCTGTTATATAAATCGTTGGACACCTCTCCTTTTAGCGTCATGGGAAGGCCAAGTTTTAATTGTAGAAAAATTACTCGGAAGCGGTGCCGATGTCAACAAGTGTAATAATTATGGTTGGTCACCCCTACTTTTATCGTCATGGAAAGGTCATTTATCAGTTGTAGAAATACTTATTATGCACGGTGCCGATATCAACAACGTATATATTAATGGTTGGTCACCTCTATCTTTAGCATCTTGGGAAGGCCATCTTTCAGTTGCAGAAAAACTCATTGAGCAGGGAGCTGACATCAACAAATGTGATGTCAATAGTCAGTCATCAAAGAATCCAAAGAATAATCAGACAGTTGAAACAAACATTAAAGAACATTTAATGGGTCATTCTCCAATTGTAGAAATAACGAGTGAAAACGTTACCGACATCAACCAGTGTGATAATAATGGTTCATCACCTTTGCTTTTAGCGATATGGAAAGGGCATCTGTCAGTTGTAGAAAAGCTTGTTGAACAGGGTGCAGACATAAATAGGTGTTATAAAAATGGTTGGTCACCTTTACTTTTGTCGTCATGGAAAGGCCAATTTCAAATTGTAGAAAAACTTTTGATGCATGGTGCTGACATCAATAACTTGTATATTAATGGCTGGTCACCTTTATCTTTAGCATCATGGGAGGGTCATCTTTCGGTTGTAGAAAAACTGATTGAGTACGGTGCTGATGTGAACAAATATGATGCTAATGGTCAGTTACCTCTGCATTTAGCGTCAAAGAATGGCCATTTGTCTGTGGTGAAAACATTGATTCTGCATAGTGTTTAATGAACTTAACATTATAAAATTGTAAATAAATGGCTTGCTGCAAAACGTTTTTTAGGAATATTAGGTGAGGACAACATGGTACGTTGTAATTAAGAGAAAGAAATTGTCATAAACTCACTAGCATATGATTAACCTTCAGAAATTTAACAACTTCAAAGGACGAGATGGGAATTAATGTTCATTTATTTTGTTTTGTTGTTTTGAAGTCACAATGTACAAGGACTTTTCCAAAACATTCGCGAACAATGACATGTCTGTCATTCTGAATATTCTTATGTAAATATATTATATACCAAAATGTTTGTTGTAATACGGCGCAAACTTATTAAATTTTTATTGCTTGAAGTTAAATTTATGACAAAGGTGCCTAAATGGTCGCAGAATGTGTACATGGCCCAGGGTTTTCATATTGTTTACTTTGTTAATAAGTTTTTAGATTTAAATGATTATAATTTTAACAGAATATTGAAACTAAATAATATTCATGAGGTTGTAAGTACGATTAAAAGATGAATAAGGGAAATATTAAGAAAAAAAAATCCATCAAAAAATAATCTTCATAACGTATGAAAATCCATTAGAATCTTTGAAAGTTCGCTATAAAAGATGTAAATTTCTTTATTTTTAACCTCTAGGAGACACAGAATAAGTTTTCTGTAACCGTAAATTCGCGAGTTCGATGCATCTATAAAATTTAACAAGTAATTTTTGAGAACTTTGCCGAGATTTGCAAAAACCTTCTGAGTCATGCCGTCCTCTATATATAAAAATATTCAAATAACATCCATCAAATATTGGTAAGAAAATATAGATCTTTTTTGTATATGAACTAATATATTTCAATATGTTTGCAAACTTTAAAAGTTTGTAGTGTTATTAATGTTTAAAAAAGTATAGCCTATGTCCAAAAACTTTGGTCAGCCCTTAAATATGTATTGAATTTGCAAAACTCTGTCATGTACACATCAAAATATTGGAATGTTAAGAAAAACTTTAAAAATTAGATGATGCATATCATTTAGAAAAGCGTTCCATATTGTTGTTTTCTTCAATATCACAGTAAAATTTTATTTAACAGTATTTTTTTTTAAATATACCTTATAAGACTCGATGCGTATCTGTACTGTATTTTTGCAAGATGTATTTCTTCAATAGCTTGTAGTCTGACAGTTTTTGCTATAGTATTCTTCTCCTTTAATGATATTCATTGTCGATGCTTTTCAAAAGGTATCGTGAAATTTGTTAAAAAGGATGAACTCTTAAGACAACATTCTATATTATGCAATGCTAGTATGTTTTTATTTTTAAGAAAAATCTCAAATGTTTGTTTTTTTTTTTTCAATTTAATGAGAGTCTCGTTTAATCTTTTTTTCTTCTTTGATGCTCTTAATACCTGAGTAAATTTTTTTTCGTAACTTCTATGATAAAATATTTGGTTTTACCATTTTTATTTAACTTTGCTTTTTCTTGTATGTGTCCGTATTGCTATTTTCTTTTTATTATTGTTTTTTTCGCTGTAATTACTATCTTGTACATTAATTTTAGTATAAGTTTATTGTTGAGCGCCTTTTTTTCATTATATTATAGGGAGCTCTACAAATGTTTTATTTATCATTATTATTATTTACATAGTCAATTTCATACAACAACTGGATAATATAAGTGTCTTGATACAAAGACTGAATATATATACTATCGCGATTCAATGGTCTTGATTCTATTGATGTCATAATACAGTGGCTGAGATAATATAGGTGTCTTAAGGTCAAACGACACGTTGCTCTAATATATATTTTGTATCTCTTGGCATTAAATAAAATATTATTCATATTTGTCATTCTCTTCTGATATCTACATTGTTTTCAAAGCATTTTTAAATATAAAAACACCAAAATTGGTGATATAAATTATTCAGAAGAATACCCATAAGGGTTATATATAAGAAATATCTCCCTGTGGTATCTAGTCCAAATGCCTTGTAAGGTACCCTAATTTTTTGTGAGGAATCTTGTTTAAGTACCTATTCTTCAATTTAAGATTCTTAGGAAAAATTATATGTTTTTGAGGAACGTGTCGTCTGTCCTTAATTAAACAATTTCAACTATTGATGTCTTGATGTAGCGGTTAAGAAAAACATATGTAACGACACTTTTCCTAGGAATATTAGAAGTATATGCCATGAAGCATGCATTTTTTAATACTTGATGGATTTCAACAGTAATATAATATCGATTGTTTTTTATTTGCTTTTTAATATTTGACATATAATTGTATCTAGATTTTTGTACTGTTGAAAGGAAATTGCTTTTTATATTAATATACTTGAATTTGTTTAATTTTTATGTAAAGTTATATAACAACAAAGATAATCTTTATGCTAAAAATAATATGCTTATCTATTTCTTATATCTGAATGTAAATTGAAATGTTTTACAGTTATAATACTTATATTTCCTGTGTATGAACATATTCAGTTTATGGTTAAAACAATTGAGATAAATAATGTTTTCTGCTGCATTCTTTTTGATTAATAACAGAGATGTAGCAATTGATTTTATTTTGTTTTGTGTTCATCTTTAAAAAATTACAATAATGTTTTATCAACAGGACTTGAACCAACCTGCATTTTACTTCTTACGAGGGTTGATCCAAAAGTAATGCAACAACTTTAATAAAATTGCTATAAATCGACGTAAAGAAACGAAATAATACAGGATGGAAGCTTTATTTCAAATTAAATCTGATAAATTCAAAGGATTATGATGAATACTTTTCAAAATATCGGATTTTAAACGATGTGCGTTTATGGTAGTCGCCGCACCTAAATATAGCGTTATACGAGGGTTGTCCGTAAAGTTCGTGGACAACATTGATAATTACTGAAAAACATTGATAAAATATATGAAACTATTATTTTCTTTAAATTCACGATTCATTTCATCAACATGCAGGTATACAACAAAAAACAAAGCACAAATTTTTATCAGATTAAATGAAGACACATACTTATAACCAGAGTACTAAAATGAAAATTCTTGACGTTACCGGACGTCAAAATCATAATACGAGTTCATGTAACTTTTCTCAACATAGTCACCGTTTAACTCAAATCATTTTTTATGTCGCTTTTACCAGTCATAAACATGTGCACAAAATGCTTAGGTTTCATCCGTAAAATAATATTTAACAATATTTGTCAAATCCTGCAATCATCCAACCTCTGTCCGCGTTAAAAGATTTTATTTACGGAAATACGGTAGAGGCATGTTACGAAATTCATTTTTTAAAGCACTGCTATCTCGGAATGATGGTTTTCCTTCACGCAGGTCATCCTGTAAACTGTTCCTTCCGTCCGAAAATATTACATGATACTTGAATTCTACTGTAAAGCTTCTTTTACTATGTTTTCCCGTTTGCTTACAAAATGTACTGGTCTATAAATGTTTATCCGATGTCTACGCAGAATTTTATCACTGCTCACTGCTCCGCCTATTCCGAAAACATCCCTTTTTTGGACAATTCTGATCCGTCTTAAAAAGTTCTAACTTTGATTGCTCGGCCATTTTACACGTTCAAATTTTGCAGGTTTGACTTGATAACCTCTGTCAACCTCATAATATGAAAGTCATCAAGATTTCCACAGAATTTTATAAAATATAAATGAAATTTATATAGTGATAAGTTTATATAGTGATAAATGATTTTTTATTAAAATTTTGCGGTGCTCCGTGTCTCCATTCCAAATCTAATTATGAAGTCATAATTGTATTTAAACATTTGAAATTGAATGAAATTTTTACATTTTTCAATTCACATTTAGTAGAGGATTAGAAATATGCTAATAATAAATATCAATGACACAACTTTTATTTAATTTTTAGCTTGTCCACGAACTTTACAAACAACCCTCGTATGACAGATACGCACAGTTATTCTTTAAAGCGTATCCCCTTTGTTTCATTCAAAGATATTTGTAACTTGCTAACACTTTCACAAATTCCACTTTCTTTAAGAATTCTTGGTACACTTCTGTACACTTACTCTTTTCATAATTAAGCCCTCTGTCAAAATTTTGTGAACAGTAGCATAAGACAAACTTAAAAATTCACAGGACACTCTATACGGCTGTCTTTTTTTTTTGTCAACGTCAGACACCATTGAAAGTTTCCATCCGATCTCCTTTCATTCGGTCTTCCTGTCCACTGCTGATCATTCAGTGACCAATCACCCGCCCAAAATTGCTGAAACCATCTATCAAAGATGTCTCTTATTTACATTCTTTATTCTGTAAGTCGGATTAAATAAAGTAACTGTCCCTTGTGATGATTCAATTTTTTAAAGCAAAAATGCATCACAACTCGTCGAGCCGTTTTCCCCCATTCTTTTTTTTTAAAAAAATGGAACTCGTTCATTCACTTACCTTGTCATTGATCATTTGCAGAAATATTCTGTTAAAAACAATCTGATTGTACACCCGAGTAGTATAAAGTAAAAATTTAAAAGATACTGAAATATCTGATTGACAATATCTATGTGGTTTTTAGAGACCAGATCTTCATCCAATTTATTGAATTTCCCATGAATACTAATTATGTACCATTATTAGTAGACCTATGTCTTAAAATTCATATGAAACAGAATTTGTCCAAAATGTTAAACATGAAAAGAAGAAAACACTTCCTATAGCTTGAACTCGATATTACATAAATCAACGATGTATTGTCAATTACGATGGGTTTTCCCATATTTTTGTCGATAGGATAAACCCTGGTGAGTTTAAGAGGGACAACTGCACTTTACCGGTACGTCCAAATAACATGGAAATAGCACGTGCTCTTTCTCTATAAGAGAGTCACGCGTCAGCGTGACGATTTCCGTAAAGAGGCAATAAAATGCAAAAATAACCTATTTTTTGAATTCCTCGTCATTTTTCATGTTAATAAACTTCGTTTAATTAACGAAGTTATTAATTAAACTAAAAGCACTTTCAAAACAAACCTTTGG